GCTCATAAGTGTACCTGGTACCAGAACACCTTAGGCCGGAGATCAATGATCGACTTTGTAATCGTATCATTTGATTTGCGGCCTAAGGTGTTCTGGTACCAGGTACACTTATGAGCCACCTTATGTTCGAACATGGTGTTCGTTATGGCCAAACCGTGGCAAGCACAGAAGTCCAATAACGAGACACCATTCGGGTTCAGATCGGGCAAGCCGTTCCTCCCAATCACCCCCCGCCAGGTTTCTCCGTCATTGCCCACGTGAGCATTGAAGTCCCCCAGGAGAACTATGGAGTCGGTAGGTGGCGCCCTTTCCAGGACCCCTCCCACCGACTCCAAGAAGGCCGGATACTCTGAACTGCTGTTTGGTGCGTAAGCACAAACCAGTCAGAGCCTTGCTCCCCGCAACCCGTAGGCGCATGGAGGCGACCCTCTCATTCTCCGGGGAGAACTCCAACACAGCGGCGCTCAGCCGGGGGCTTGTGAGTATCCCCACTCCCGCCCGGCGCCTCTCACCCTGGGCAACTCCGGAAAAGGACAAAGTCCAACCTCTCTCCAGGAGCTTGGTTCCAGAGCCAGCGCTGTGTGTGGAGGTGAGTCCAACTATATCTAGCTGGTATCGCTCCACCTCCTGCACCAGCTCTGGCTCATTCCCCGCTAGCGAGGTGACGTTCCACGTCACCTAGAGCTAGTCTATGCTGCCGGCGATCGGCTCGCCCAGGCCTCCCGCCTGACCTGCCGCCCGGTCTGCATTGCACCCGACTCCGATGCTTGTCCCTGCGGGTGGTGGGTCCACAGGGTGGCTGCTTCATGCTGTTTATTCGGGCTGAGCCCGACCGGGCCCCATGGGCGAAGGCCCGACCACCAGACGCTCGCCGACGAGCTCCCCTCATGGGTCTGGCTCCGGGAGGGTGCCCCGGTTTCCCTGGTCCGGGCGAGGTGGCTAAAGTCCGTGGGCTGCTTATCATTAGGGTCGTTTGAACCGCTCTTAGTCTGGGCTCTCCCCCGAGACCTGTTTGCCTTGGGAGACCCTACCAGGGGCTAATGCCCCGGACAACATAGCTCCCAGGATCACTGAGCCACTCAAACTCCTCCACCACGTTTAGGTGGCGATTCGCGGAGAATAATAATAATAATAATAATAATTCCTAGTTTCAATAGGGACCTCGCGGCCCGACGTCGGTGCTCGGGCCCTAATTATGGTAATCCAAATAAAAAAGTGTCCCTCCGACAATTTTACATATGAACTGAAATGTACTGTCAATGAAAACTAAAGTTGAATGAATAAGTGTACAGGGAGAACACTTAAATAGGCCTCATTTAAATCATTATGTCCTAAAAGTAGTCAAATTCACCAACAGCCGAATCCAGAGTTATTATCTGAGGCATAATTAACATGCATCAGACCTTCGGGACTGCGCCCTACATGCTCACACATAGACTGTATGTAAGAAATGGACGTAGTCTCTGTTATGTCACCCATTGGTTTGTGAACAATTTTAGAGCTTTCAGTTCAGCATTTTGGCCGTTGCCTTCTTGTTTTTTTGCAACCAGAAGTGACAGGAGGGAGTGGAGCTAACTACAACCGAACACTGAATAAGATACCAAAATGTTACTATTAACTTTCATGAATTGTAAAAACACACTGAAAGTTCTGAGACAAAACAGACAACGCCACGGTAGCGACCTGTCAATCACAGTGTAGCCCCGCCCAAAAGCATACCCTGCATTATGGGCCGTTTGACTCTATGGACCATCATTTACGAAATGAACATCATGCTGTATTGAAGAAGACTTGAAACTAGAGATTGAGATCATAAACTCATGTTTACAATGTTTACTGAGGTAATAAATCAAGAGAGAAGTAGTCATTTTCCCATAGACTTCTATACAACCAGAGGAGTCGCCCCCTGATGGCTTCAACAAAAAGGGCAAGTTTAAGGCACAGCCACATTGACTTCACTTTTCCGAACCCGCGGTTGCCACCTGGGCTCTTATGGCAGATCCAGTTCTGCTGGCTTCCAACTAGCTGTAATAATGGATACTTTGGTTGAAATGTATCACTTTTCTTACCTTATATATGTGTACATCCATGGGTGGTATGCTGTAAAGCCTGTGTCGTGTGTAAGGGGCTGAGGTCCAGTTAGAGGAATCTACATTCCGGCCAGAGGGCTCCACCCACTCCTTCAGGAGAGCATTGGGGTCAGTTGTGGGAAGAGACACACCAGGAGCTGATCTCCATTAACAATCTGTCAATAATGTATGTATTAGCTGTTTGGGAACAGAGATGTTATCGGTTAGTAGCACTAGTAGTAAGAGATAAACGTAGTTTTAAAACGTTTAGACTTGGTCGTGCGCTTGCTCTATGCAACCCATAGATGCAGAGGATCCAGGTAATGTTATACCCAGCAGTCAATTTATTTATTTATTTGCTTCACTGAGCAGCTTTCATAGAAATGAACAGGGCCTCAATCCAACACTGTATCCAGTTCTCTTTAGACATCTTTAAACATTCACAGTAAAACCTGTTTGATAATGCCTCCTGTGGCTCTGGAAGACTTTTGCCAAGTGCAAGAAAATAACCCGGATGATGTCATCAAGGTCATCCCAGCTTGGGCTTGGAAACTACACATTTCAAGGAGATAGCCTAATGCACGTAATATAAACAATGTTGGTGTTGTCCATGCAGGGAGGGTATAATGAAAAGAAGTCATTGGTTACATAATGGGAAATGTAAGTTCCAGTGTTTTTGGAAATTGATCCAAATGAGACACTAAAAGTCAGGATATCTCAGTCTGTGCTGCTGTGATTTTGAACTTTGTTTTTTTCTGTGCCTCTTGTGGAACTAACTTTGCTATATGTTTTGAGTGCTGCAGTAATGAGTAGTAATACCTTGAAATGAGTCAGCATTTTTTGTATTTCTGGTTCCCTCATCTCAAAGTGAAATAAGATCTGTGTTTAACACAAACAGGAGTTTAATATTTTGTTGTAGACAAAAAATTTGCTTTACCGGTCTTTAAAAAGGCTAACAAGTGGCTAAACCTTATAACGCTGAACATTAGTCAGACTGTGGTGTAGTTTGATTATAGCCCAACGTTAGCTTTTTACTTCTGCTGATTGCATTCATGGCTCAGAAAATAATCAAAGTGGTGTTTATTTGTGAAGATGATCTGGCTGAAAAAACGTGTATCATAAACGTGTGTGCCACAGAGCTTATTTTCTGTAATAATCCAAAATCCATTGGAAAAATCCCGTTGGCTTTTTGCTGAGGGAACCAGTGTGATGCTAACTTCATGGTTGGCCAACAATAATCAGCATCCCCGCGGCCCTCTATTCACCTTACAGCAGTGGCGGGCCGTGCATTTTATATCTGGGCCTTCACTGCTGTCCTGCAGCTGAAATACCACCGTATAACCACATTATGGCGCCACAGCTATTATTCATTTTTAAGGCTGTAACTATGTATGTCTTCGTATTAATGCTTTCGGTACGAGTCGTTTGAATAATGCTAGAGCATTTAGAAAATGCAAAAGCCTAAATTCAGGAAAATATAATGTTCTCAGCTGGTCTGGCTGTGGGATCCGCCACCATTCCTTAATGACAAGCCACGACCCAAAGAGATTATCATAGGATTTTACTTTCACAACTTGAACGTTGAACGTACTGCTCTGCAATGTCTTTCCTCGTCTCAGTCTCCTGTGTCATGGTGTGTGGTACATCTGATCTCACTCAGTCAGAATGCCCATATTTGATTGGCTGAGCTGCATCACGTGATGTGATTCACTACCCGACAGCCTCCGCAGTTAAGTTTCAGAGCTGCACATGGACACTGAGCAGCATGTAATGCTGACGTCATTATAGGCCGGCTCGCAGGCTCCGATACGTCAAAGCAGGGGCGTTTCTAGGATTCAAAGAAAGGGGGGGCTTAGCCCAAACGGGAGTGGCATGTTTGCGGCCGTAGCGCGTGGCAATTTTTTTTGGGGTCCATTTGGGGCCGCGGTTATCCATTGTTTCAGACAGTTCATAGATCGGTTCAATCAGAAAGAGTGTGATTTTGCTCTGTAGTTTTGCTTGCATTCAGTATATGATAACACATGAGACAGAATTTCAGGGTCATAGTGAAATTTGACAACAGAAATATGAACTTTTCTCAAATAAAGAGAGAAATAATTTTCCTGCTTGTAAAGGAAAGACGGATAAACTAGCTTTCATATCCGCGTCAGTCCCAAATCCTAATTCTTAAAGGGACCGCACACAATGGATGGAGAATGGACCTGACAGTGTCAACTTTATATCGTTAAGTATGATGATAGGCTATTGGATTGTAATTTGAAGGGGGAGAAAACATACAAACCAGAACGCACACACATATGTAGCATGTTAGAGTTATAAATAACTTGTCCATGTGAGAAACAATAGTTTAACTTAATGACATCACCAACAAAAAAAAAAAAAGTTTTTTTTGTTTTTTTTATAATGCCAAATTATTTGGCATTATAATGTTATAATATTATATTATTATCACTTGTGAGTCTGCAGGCCTCGGGCCTCTCTTCTTACCTAGAGACACATAGGTGAAATCTGATTGGATAAAATCTCTACTTAAAACAAGCTGCACTGGAAGCAGAGCAACTGAGGAAGACAGTAGCTGTGCAATGAGAAAATAAGATAATGGGAAAAATATTTTTATAAATTATAATACATGTAGTGTATTTAAGAACAATTATTAAATTATAAAATAGATATAGCTTTGTGATTCTGTTTAGGCCAGCAGAGAAGGCCTTGCAGGCCCTGATGGCCCGCCACTGCCTTACAGTGATCAGATTACACATTGACAGCTAACTCACTCTCTTCAAAGCCTAAATATCCATTCTAATGATCCGATCTGAATGAATAGCGATCTAGAACAAAACCTTTACTTTGAGTTTGAATACATTTAAGTCACAGTCAACCTGGTGCTTCAGGTCTGTTTGCTCAATGAACCCTGAATTAAATTCATGAAAGTGGAGGAAAGAGATTTACAGTTTATTTTTGGTACAAATCATTTTAACCTGCATTATGTTCATTTATGAATTTGTGGCTTTTCATCTTCAAAAAACACAATACTAACAGAGACAACAAATTCAACTAGAAAATACTAGAAAAAACAAGAGTAAAAATTCAGTCAGTTATCAGTAATAAATAATGAAAACTGTATAATGGTTGTAATGATCACCTGTCTATCTTTGTGTATGGCAGTTGTGAATGGGGAACATGTTGCTGTTTATTTTCCTTCGCATATATAAAGTGCTGTATACTTGTCAGTGTTATCAGTGGCCTGCAATGCTAACATAGCTTACTAATAGGGTCTTTTATTATTATTACTATTTGTATTTTCCTCACTTCCTCAAACAGTCTTTCGTTTATATACTGGATATGATTTTTACTGACATTATAGTGAGAAAAAGGGAGAGCCCTTCTGTGTATGTCCGTAGTTTTCAAACACATTAGGCAGTCAGATAGCAGTGTCTGTCCACACCAGGTATCAGATCCGCCCGTAACCTTATTTAGTGTATGTATGTGCGTATAGTAAGGGGAATTGTTACTTGGTCAGAAGAGGCAGAACACACCCAGTTAGGAATATGTATGTTCACTTGTCCTTAATGTTTAGCTTATCAAACAGCAGTGAAGTTAGAGTGTTCAAACAATGTTTTGTATATTACTTTAATAATGTTAATCTCTTAACTAGATTCACTGTATGAGCACATCAATAAATTAAAATCTTTCCTTCTTTTAAAAAGTTGAAGTCTAACAGCAGCGTTGAGTCCAGAAGGCATCGAGCTGGATGGAGGTCACCGGAGGGCATAGTTAAACTGGTTGGAGAACTTGTCGTGTTTTCTCCTGTCAGCTTTAGCCATAACTTCAGCTATTCTGCGCATGCTGCTCCTGGAAAGAAGGACAGAATGAGGAGGAGAGGCAGACAGGAAATGAGAAGATGAGTTTGAGAGATTCAACTAAATCTGATCAAACACTGACGTCAAAATCTTCTGCTGAGGAAACATGGCATAGTGATCATGCTTAAAGCCACAGACTGTATTCCACATCTCTGTGTAACCCGAACTGTGCATCTCATACAGCTCAGCATACAGCATATGCTCTGAGCACTGCTGTGCCAAGACTCTGGTGGGGAAGCCCTCCAACAACGCAAATGTCTTTTGGTAAGTTTTGATTTATCTAAAATATTGCAAGCCAAAACCTTGTAAATAGGTAAATACTCGAGCAGTAAGCGAGACAGTGTTTTAGAGCTTTCAGAGAATGCTGCTCCTGCTCCAACATACTTGTTGAGGACTTTTTTTTCCAGCCTGGAGCGGGCCGTGTTGGCGCCGTGCTTCAGGTCGCTGAGGTTGGGGTACTTCTTCTTCTTCCTCCCTTTCCCTTTTTTATCCACTCTGTTGGAACCCAGGTTTTCCCCCGTCGCCGCCTCGATGTCTTGCATCAGCTCTGCATCACGCCAGTCTACAACAGAGAGAAAAAAAAGAACCCTTTCAACAGGGAGGTAAGAAGAAAATATCTTATAAACACAGAGACATAAAGAAAGACACAAACACGGCCCGCTCCAGGCTGGAAAAAAAAGTCCTCAACAAGT